AGTTATGACCAGAGAGGCTGTTATGGGGAACCTGTAGCACACTGGAGAAGAAATTCCAGTTCTCTCAGCCTACATACTTCACTGAAAACAAATGTCATTTTGATAAACACTTTATGTACCAAAACTGTAACTAGAATGAACACGAAAATACATATTTAGTCTAACAGGATTACCCTGGCAGGTTCTCTTTCAGAGTACCGACACATGCTTAGCTGTAAAGCTCTGTAGTTTTTAACTCATTGGTAAAACAGCAGGAGACCTCTGACTTAAAGCAAATTAGATGTTATTACGCTTATTAGTGACAATATTAATTATTTCAATTCCACCACATGGAGACTGTTTCACTCCAGAGACATATTCTGAGAACTTTAATGAATGCAAGTACATGGATGGACCCTCACCTCGCATCTTCCCCTCAGCTTTTTTTTTTGAAAAATATTTATTATAGAGGAACAATTACAGTGTATAAACGCCTAGAAAAATATTTACATTGAAAAAAATTAAGTGAATAAATAATCATGAAAAAGAAGTAGTCTGAAATGTAAATGGCTAATCTCACAGGAAAATTAGCAATTATTATTTTTTTTAAACTGAGAAAAGATTCGGGAGATTTGATACTGAAGTGCAATAGAAACAAAAATATTAAGACTACTGTCTCGAAACAGGCCAACGGGGTTAGTATTGCCTCCATTTTGAAGACTGGAAAACAGACATGAATAGCACCTTGTCACCTGCATCACTTTTCAAAGTACTGTCAGTGAAATTGTGATGCTAAAAAAGTTTAGTGATTGTACGTGTCAAAGGCACTGCGTCATTGTATTTATTAGTCTTAGTCCCCACAAATGGACTATGCCATTGCATGAAAAAAAGAAATGGCAAGTCCATAGTGATAGCATCAAATTAATCAGAATGTGCAGATGGGTAAACTAGATTTGAATGGCTCTGGCCAGCAACCTCCAAGACTTACATCCACAGAGTATTTTCAGCAACTAATTCAGAATACAGACAAAACGCCTCCACGGGCTTTACAAATACTGCTGGCAACACTGGGATTGCAAGACAAAGTCACTGGAAAGGTTAGTTACACACTACGCAGACACCATTCCACCTGAAAAAAGTACTTTTGAAAACACGAGCAGGAGGACACAAACGCCAAAACGGCTTCCAAGGAGAAGGCAGGAGAGCGCGATGGTCCATCGGGACTGATCCCCGAGTACATCCCTAGGGGAGAGGGTTTAGACGGAGCGTTTGGCCTCCAGACTGGGAGCAGAAGGGGAAAACCTCACCTCATCTGCTACTACACCTCTGAAATAGTATATGGAAAGTAATATAACTATGCATATGTCTGTGGAGAACGTTCACACCCACTGAACCTCACGTAGAACCTCCTGCCCGTCCCCTCAACAATCCTGAATCCCCTCTCTCTCTTTTCTACAACACGGAATTACTGCACAACACGAGTTTGAAAAATACAAGGAAAATTATGCACGATGCTAGAAAAAAAGATGTTCAAATATTCTAGCAAATTCAACTTTTCTTGAAAATTGATAACGGAGTTCAACAACAAAATACAAGTCAGACTAGTTTTTCCATTTGCAATCTTGCCTTTTTAGCCAGAGTTTAATCAGGCTCAGATATAAATGTTTAACTGACCGAGAACTCTGTGAAACTGGCAGGACCACAATATCACTTTTATACGATAAACATACAGAGTATTATGCAATTTGCCAAACTTTTCTCTCCATCCCAGATATATTATTAGCTTCAACCGTGTTGGCTCTGATAAAATGAATGATTCTAATGAATGGTGCGGGAACAGTCACAATATGGAACATTTTAGTACAAACACCTCCCACAAAAACTTCTTGATATAAATCCACTTAATGTCTAAAATCTCTTTCTTCCATTTGACTCTAAGTGACTTGCTAAAAGAAAAACAAGATGCAAATGACAGACTGATTTGTGATCTCCGCAAGAGTTTGCTACCCAGTGATTCACCTCTCAAGTGCAAAGCTCAGATATACTGCATGGAGTCTGGCATCACCCTGAGAAACCTGGAAAATGACTCATGTCTTACTTACTCGTTAATAATCAGATCTGGTGCAAAGCACAGGAGATTTCCATTTGATTGTTTATATGATCTCCATCCTAAAGCAAAAGCCATTAGGAACATCCATGAGTACTGCAGAAGGGTCATTTGGTCATCCAGGTGTAAATTTCGGAAACCTGGAAAAATAAAAATAGAGGTGTGACAGTATTAGTTGAAAAAAAAAAAAACCAGAAAAGAACTCCCCTAACTTGGAAAAGGACCGTGATTATCATCAGTCCAACTTCTGTATTAACAGTGTCGATTACCACCTGTAAAAGTGTATTTGGTAACAATTTCTGTAACTGTGATGACTGTACCTGAAAGAACAACATTTTTTTTTCCATATTATGGTCACCTGATTCAGTCAAGTATTTTACATTAGATATTTGGCAGAAGAAAAAAATAAATTAGATCAGTAAGAGATTTCTTATGCAAAAGTCCTTGCTAGATGAAAAAAAACCCTAACATAACACTTTAAAAGCGGTGCAAAATTTCAATGCCATTTTCCAGCTACGTTACATTCAAATACCTGGTACACCATTAAGGAATCCCTTGCCTACACAAAATTCTGCATATGTAGAAATTAAGTGTTCATCACCATAGGACTCAATTACATTTTCCGGACAATATGACTACACACGAGACTCGAGCGGTTCGAACAGAACGCTGCAGTGTAACTCAACCTTGAGCTGGTTTGAACGTGTCAAACATACAAAACACAGAATCACAGGATGGTTTGGGTTGGAAGGGACCTCAAAGATCACCCAGTTCCAACCCCCCTGCCATGGGCAGGGACACC